TTTTTAGACTCCTACATTGTGCTACTGGACAGGCTTGATCACACACAGTGACCTCTGCGAGCTGTGCAGGTCAAGTCACAAATGTACTAGAGAGACAAATAATATTAGAACTTTATCGAAGGCAGTAATACTTAAATGCTGAGGACAACATAGTGCTGGAATCCAAATGATGGGAGTTTAACAATTTGGGTGGGAGCCACAGGGCTATAATGTTACCCCATGGACTAAGGGACTGCTCCTTACAAGTGTATCAGCTGCATCAGGACTTCTGCTGACACACCGACAATTAAAAACATTTATTTTCATGTAGTTTTGTGGGTATTTGTAGTGTCCTGGGGCAAATTTAATTTCTGTGTGAGGTTGGAGCCAGCTGGTCTATAGAGACTTTGTCTGTGAGGTGGTCCTTGCCTCCTGCTGTATGGTAGTGCTCGTGTAAGGGATGGAGGCAGGATTTTCACAGTGTAAGGTGCACATCCTAGTCCTGTGTGTTCTTCTTTATTGAACAGTTCCCAGTTCTAAGAAATAAAGGAACTGTATCATTATCCTTAAACTATGAGTGAAGCCTAAAAATCTTCCAGATGCTTACTGATATTCTGCTCTGATTTAAGGTTTGAGGCGTTTCAGCTATGTGTCATGTCATCTCCCAGTTTAAACTTTGATAGCTAATTCAGTTTTCTTTCTGGTTTGGAAGATGTTGTATAATATTTCTAGGAACTGCATCTTCAAGGAGAACCTCTTTAGGAAATGTTTGTTTAGAAAGTATTGAGAAGTAGTAGCAGGTTTGGTTTATTTATGAAGGGAATGTTTGCACTCCCCTACACACTACAGTGTTGAATAAACATATATTATCTTCTGGTGTGTACTTGTAATTATGATAATGGTAAAATTCACAAATAATTTCAATTCCTAAATTTTGCCTCAAAGGCAATAAGAAATGTGAAAGGCACAGACTGTTGCTTTTTCATATGTGCAGTTATTGAGAAAGTAGATCCATGGCTCCATCTGCTGGGGTTCAAAACCATAAGCACAAGGAATTGCTGTTTATTGAAAGCACTGAGTTCTGGCACACTTGTGAGAGTAGCTGCTGGGCAGAAGCTGAAAGAAAAAGTACTGCATTTTATTTTTCAGCTGGTGAATTGATGGAGTCTATTTCTCTGGAGATATTGGTGTAATAATTTGACAATTTTGCCGGTCTTAAAATTTGTGGTTTTTTTCCCTGCAGTTACATTCACCGTCTGTGAGTTGAGCAATTTGTTTCTTTTGACAAGATACAGTAACAAACACAATACAGAGCTGCCTGTATAATTTTTACCCTATGTGTTTTTTATAGTCAGACAACTTCTGTAGGCAAGATAAAGATCTGATATTACAAGATTAGCTGGATGGTTCCTCCAGAGATCTCCCATGGGGAAAGAATAAGGCCAAAGGATAAAAAACTTGACTTCTTGGTCTTGTCTGGCAATTAAAAAAAAGATATTTTTGAGATTACTTTGCATTTTCCAATGTCTTGGTGCAGACCAGCATGAAAGGAAGCTATTTCCATCTGATTAACTTTTCAAATTTCTGTTAAGAGGGGAAATATTTTGCTCACACTTGGTTTCTCATTTCCATTGATCTGAGCACAGGAGCTCAGAAACTCTGAGCTGTAGCTTAGCTCTTGAGGAAGAGAACATTCTGAAATATTATTCTCTGCAACACTATTACTCTGCCTGCAGTTGTTTTCAAAGCAGCTTTGTCATTTTCTGTCATTATAGCAAAATCTGTCTTAATAATCTTGCCAGCTGCAAGAATATGCATCAAAAATCCATTCCATAAAAAGCAAAAATTGTCTGTCTTGTTCAGCACTGAGTAAACACTTCAGTTTCAGTAGAAACTGAACTTTGGAATTTGAAAGTTTTACAAAGTAATGGCTGTGTATTTGATCAAGATTCAAACCTCTATACAGAATAGTGTGCCTGTTTTCTTGAGTATTCTCATTATGTGCTAGCGTATTTTGTCCTAAACAAGGAGCCTAAACAAAGGTCTCTTTCTCTGCTCTTTTCTTTTTCCTCTGTTGAAGGTTTTCAGAATGATGCCCATAGGGACAAGGATTTTAGATAAATAAAAGTAATGGTTTTGCAGAGATGTAGCTGGAGTGAATTTCACTCTGTAAGGGTTGCTACTGTAAAGTTGCAAGTAAAAAGACTCATGTTAAATGTGGAGACTGAAAGGAAATACCTCCTATGTTACTCATAACAGGATATATATGGCAGTGTTTATAACTCCTCTGCTGTAAACAAAAAAAAATAATGGAAGATCAGACTTCAGTTGTATCTGAAAGTATTGCTATCTTGAAATACTTGTTATTTTTCCTTCTGTTGCAAGTAGAAAAGTTGTCATTTTAACATAATGCTCAACTTCAGCAGGTTAACAGTGCCAAGTGTGTGTGTATGTAAATTATATGTAATTCTATTAAATCATTAATATTAAAAATATTACTAGAACAGTCACAACATTCAAACAGTATATGCACATGGGCATGTATATATACAGGTATAGTTGCACAATGGTGTATGTTTTAAGAAATACTCTCTCTCTAGAAAGAAGAGTCTATTGTACTTAGTTCATATTTTATGGGTGAGGATTTCTGCTGCTTAGACAATCAGAGGAATGCTGACAGTTTATTTGTGTTCTTACTTCAAGAGACAGGAAAGGAGGAATCAACTGAAAAAATGCTGTTTTGTTATCTGCTGTTAGAGGCAATGTATTCTGTTAAAATTTATGACCACGTGGAAGGCCAAGGCTCTGCTTATTCAGGGTCAGTCCTTAGGAATAATCTCTTATTATTTAGACACAGTCTTTGTATTCCCAGTGCAAGTTACAGACTGTAAACTGAGCATTTTGCTCAGTTTTTTGCTTTCTTCTGCTCTCAGCTTGGAAAATTTTCTAGTTATAAACTAGGATGGCTTGTTCTCCAGTTAAATGACAATTTAAACTGTGGGCAGGAGAGAGAACAGCGGCAGCAAATGTTTTATACACCCATAAAATGCCTATAGAAGTTTAAGGTATTTTAAGAGTACTTTTTTTATCTACTGTATTGTAAAACTGCATTCTAAAGTGTTTTTTTTTCCCAGCAATTATGATCTCTCCTTAAAATAGAGGAAAGAATCCTCACAGTCTCTAAAAATCTTGTGTATATGTGCTTATCCATACGTACCAGTAAGCCTGCAGGTAGAGATTCACCACAGCAAAGAAATCCCAACACAGTTACGGTCTTGAAGTGGTTAAAGAAGCCAGAGAAGGTTGAAGGGGAGGGATGAAGAGTTTCATGTGGCTTTCAAAAGCCCATTTCTGGTAGGCAGAGTTGTGGACAGGTGAACAAGCTGGGATAACACCAGCTAAATGCCAACTTTCACACCTGTCAGTGAAATGGAACAGCTGGCTGTGCTCCAGTTCACTGGTGGATGTAAAGCTTTTTCTTGTAAAGTTTTTCTATTTTTTTCTGAATTCGTTGGGGTTGTCAGTCACAGAACCTGGGTGTTGTCTAGGTCAGGCTTTAGCTTGCCATCAGAGATCACCAGTGACTTCTTGTAATTAGTGACTATTCCCAAGCTGTTTTTCTCATCCTGAACTACAAAATTGCTTATTGATTCCTGATGCTTGTGAATAGTGTGGCTGGTTGGCACTGCATGTTCAGAGTGGAACTGTACTAGCATTAAAAAAAAAAAATGTTAACAGCAGAAAAGTGCAGTTCAATCTCCAGTCAGAAACAGTCTTTGAACTTGTTACCCTTTCTTTCACAGTTATATAACATATGTGTAGTTTTATTAATACTTAAATATTTTGTTTCCATTTATGTATATTTGTGTGTATGTATACACTGCCTAAATATATACATTGCTCACAGGTACTTGCTGAGCCACATAACACATATTAAATTGCTCATTAGATGAATTACTTTGTTTTTGCACTTGGCATACAAACATTGTCTAGACAGCTGACTTGGGGTTTATACTAATAGCTCAGGAAGTTACATAGGGGCATAATTCCTACAGCCTCTCGTGTTTCTGTGATTATATATTACATGTTTTTATTGCTGTCTCTCTATGGTCCTGTCTTTCACAGTGGTAGTTTATTATAAAGAGAACAAAAAAGAGATAGAACTGGTATATATTTCATGAAGATTAATATTCTTCTAGTATATCTAGAGTGCTGATCAAAATAAGTTTTACTTAAGTATTTATAGAAAAAGGCCAAGTACCTGTGGATGGAAGCACTTCTCCCTCATTTCAAACACCATGAAAAATTAGCTAATTGTAAGCAAAAAGGCTGTGAGAGGACTCCAGAAAAGTGTTTAAAAGAAACATGGCAGTTCAAATCTAAAAACATGATCCCATATTTTGACAGTAAATTCCTTGAACTTAAAGTTCTTTAGGAAGAATTTTTTGTGTTGCATATTTTGACTGGACAGCAATGCCATCATTTTCTGTACTGCAAAGTTATACAGCCTTTAACAGAAGCACAGAGATTTATTTAAATCCAACTGGAAGTTCTGTGAAGATTGAAAAATCAAAATCCTTTTCTTTCATGCAAAAATCGGAATAATTAGGAATAGAAAATAATTACTTGTTCTACTCAGATCATGAAAAATCAACTGTCTTCTAAGAGTGCTTACACTTTATAAGAAGAACTTAAAAACAAGGACGTTTGGATAATATATTTGTATATCTCTTGGCATTTAGATTTTATACCATTACCCATTGTAACAGTATAAAATACTGTTGTACAGTATAAAATTGTATCTTTTGTCAGTAGAATATTTTGTGTGACATGTTTGTTCAGTTTTCAGTGCTGGATATTGAACATCACTTTTAAATGCTAGAAGTCTTCAGTAATGTGCATGCAACAAATTGATGTTGACATCTCATGTATTTAGGCTGACTGACAAATCTGTTTGAGTGATCTTTGAGGCTGAATAATTTATCTTCTTTCCCCCATCTCTTTGTTTTCTGTCATCTCAGGTTATTTTATTGGCTGTGGAGAACCACGGACCCTTTGTGCCCTGATGGGGGACTCGGGATCCAGACGATCGACTCTTGTATCTCGGTTGCCAATATTCAGGAGAAGCGTTAGCCGGAGACACGACTCCCTTCCTTCCTCGCCTTCTTCTGCCAATGCCATTGGTGTCCACACCTCCTCCCCATCCAGCACCAACTCCAGCTCAGGGAGCACAGGAAAGCGCCGGAGCATTTTCCGCACTCCTTCCATTAGCTTCCATAACAAGAAAGGGAGTGAGCAGAAGCCTGACTCAGAGAGCCAGAATGTTAACATCTCAAATGGTGCCCAGTCCTCTCTTAGCACTTTTCACAAACTCAGCTTAGACGAGCACATAAAAAGCAGAGGAAGGCATTCAGTTGGCTTTGGCAGCTCACGTAGCAAGAAGATCACAAGGTCTTTGACAGACGATTTTGAAAAGGGAAAGGAGCCCTCAGCCAATAAGAATGTCTTTATCAATTGCATAAGCTCTGGGAAGAATGAGGGTGACGATTCGGGCTTTGCAGAAGAGCGAAGCCGATACTCTGTCAAACAGTCCACACGAAAACTTCTCACTAAGTCTTTTTCATCGCACTACAAATTTTCCAAACCAGTTCCAGAGAGTCAGTCGGTTTCCTCTGTCCAGCAGCCCAGGTGCTTGTTGGAAGTTAAATCCTATGTGGAGAGCGAGCCTGTGATGGCCAAGTCGTCTCCTCCGTGCTCGGCTGAGACGACGGAGTGCATGGGCAGCTCCCTGCAGTCCCCGCTGCTCTCGGCTGACCTCACGGCTGCCCAGACCCCCTCGGACTTCATCGCTCTCACCGAGGACTCTGTTTCAGAGGCTGATGCCCTGCCCAGCAGTGGGCCTGGGGCACTGCTCGCGGAAGATTTTGGCCACGATGTCTCTACCTCTCAGGTCTTCTTTAATCCTGCTGCTGCTCCTGCGAGGGAGAGAGATACTGTGCAAAGTGCTGGCCATTCTGCTGGTGTATCTCCTGTGAGTCATGCAAGCTCGTGCAGTATGGAGTCCAGTACCTTATTCAAAACCTCAGTTGCTCATCAAACAAAAGTACTGTTGCAAGCCAATGGACTGCATATCAGTGATGCCAGGCACATAGAAAAAATTAACTCGGAAAATGCACATTTAGAAACCTTGACGTTAGAGCGTAGTGAAGAACCAGTGACACTCTCTCCAAAGGCACGGGGGTTGAGTGGCAGCAGAGATGAAAGCACTCCATCCAAGCACATGAGAAACACAATTCCTGTAGTGGAGTCTAACACTGTTCCATGTTCTGAACCTCAGTCCTTTAAAATACAACAGGGTTATGAATCAAACCATTCTAAAGGTATGTTTCATGGTCTTTTCATTTTTGAGTTTGGTGGGTTTTTGGGTGGGCTAGCCTTATTTCTTCTATAATGATTGTTTTGTCATAGAGTGTTATTTAGAATTGCAAGTGTTAACTATGAAGTACAGAAAGTACAAATTGTGTCCTCCTTCAGAACTGTAGGAATTAAAGGCAAAGTCTGTGATTTCTTTGAGTTTGTGTTTTAGAGTTTGCAAACACCCATCAGTGCTGTTCGTGTCTCTGCTTTGCTTAATAAAAAAATGAATTAAGAATGCAAGTACTGATTCCCAGCTTGTGTTAGAGGCTGAAGCTATGATTCCTTGAGACACGCCTATTTTGGACTTGAGCCATGGGGTTGCATAATTTGGGATGGAAACATGACCAGAGAAACAAACGTTCTTGTCTGATTATGGGAAATAATAAAGTTTAGTTTATATTCATCTGAGTTTAGAAATTGATAGAGTCATGCTTTCTCTATTCAACTGATGTTATAGAGTAGCTCAAAGTGGATATTTTGTCAAAGTATGAAATATCCTGTTTCTGCTTCCATCTGAAATAAGTGTCCAAATTCTCATTTTGTCATCTATGGAACTGAGGGAGTTAATTACCATCTAAATTTCACATTGGGTCTTTAGTTTATGAAGAGTAATTTGGAAATGCTAACAAGATTAAGTGGAAAGACTGTGCCTAGAAATCCCAATATAGAGATACAGATAAATAAGGCACCAGGCCCTTGAGTGAAGGACACCTGTCAGAAGACATTTATCTCTGACAGTTGATTCTCTCGAGCCAGCTTATGACTGGTGCTTTCTTGCTTAATCCTGAGGCTGTATGTGGTCAGCCAAAATTTGAGAGTTAACAAGACAGCATTTGTAGTGATTGAATTAGAAAATAAATGATGGTAAGTATAAACTCATATAAATTCACACCCATCATTTTGCTTAGATGTTTATCTAGGCATGTGGATTATAAGCAACCAAAAGCAATCTTGCTTTTTGAATTATTAGTCACTGCAAGGCTTAGTTGGATATCTTGTACATAAATGGCAATAGAAAGTCAAATTAATCCACTGAATTACCTTTCACCAGAGGGCTCCTCTTTCACTCAGAACCTCAGTCACTTTGGGGAAAAAAATATTCTCATTTCTCTATATTACTGGTCCTGAACACTCAGTTAGTCTTCCTTGCCACATTGTCACATCTGTAAATAGCTCTTATTTCAGAATCTGTCTTGCAAGAGTGTACTGCAGAGCACTAAGTGAGCAGCTTGGAAGGATGTTTAGAAATACCCCCTGCATTTCAAACTCATTCATTGACAATTTGATATTTAGTCTGTATTTCAGTAAAGCAGCTAAAGGGAGTCGAAATTGTGATATAGATGTTTTTGTAAATTGGATTCATGTTCACAGAAACACTAGAGCTAATAACTGCACTTCATAAAAGTTGTTGATTAATTGTTTGTTCTTTTAGTACTGTTCAAAATACCTTTTTTTTCCTAGTGTTGTGAAGAATGTATTTCAAATTAGCAATTCCCAAGTGTACAAAGGAACCAGTGAAAATAAGACAAAATCCTGCCATATGAAATGAGTCAAATCCAGGAAAAGCTTTCATGGCAATCAGTAAGATATGGTTACAAGTACTTATACCTGTTGCAAACAGAATGGTTTGAACATTTGGTTTTCTAAAACAGTATTTAAATCTAGATGTGAATACAAAATACTTTTGTGCATTTTCTTTGGTAATAGATATTTTCTCTTCTGTACCTGGTCTCATAGCTGATATCATTATAGATAGCATTGTGAATGTGACAGTAATGTATGAGCAGGTTTGATGTGCCATATGTTTCTTATTATACCTTTATGTATTTTTATGTGATACGGATTTTTTTGAGAACTTTTAGAGAAAATGTCTCTTCTCTTGCAAAATGCAGAGGAAGGTAAAATTTTCTGTATGTGTGGCATTTATTACGCTACTACTCATTTATCTGTCCCCACCTCTAAATTTGCACTAACATGTCAAACTATATTTTTTTTGCTTTTTTCTGACATGTTATTGTTTCAACTGGGCTGGGATTTTGCCCACTGACTGCAGGCTGATGGAAGGTGCAGGTGTAAGGCTAAACTAGGAATGCTGAACAGAAATGGAAACCAATGTGCATCCCTGTCATACGCAGAGGTAACAAAATTGTCACCTGGCCCTTCAGGAGCTGGACCTACTTGACTTTGGGGGCCTAGGCAGGTTGGGTTTTGGCACCACTGGGCAAGTGATGGTTTCTCTGGTAGATTTTACTTTCAGCAATTTGGAAGTATCCTATAATGAAGGGAGAAAGAAAAGGATGGAGCAAAGAGTCATTCTGGACTCTATGAGGTGCCCTGGACTGGGCTGTGGTGTGCTGAGCATGCCTGTCATTGGGGCTGAGCAATGAACTGGGGGCCCAGGTGACACCTTGATCTAGGTAAGCACGGTCTGCTTTCCACAAAACATTTCTCATGTGATTTCAGCGTAATTATTTCAAGCAAAGCGGTGTTCTGATTAAGAAAATTGTTGTCATCTTATTGCGAAAGTTCTCATACCTTCCCAGTGATTTCTCATGGGCAGCTCTTCACAGCACTGACTCCATCTCTCTTCACAGCACAACCAACAAACTCCAGCTCTCTCCTCGCCCAGCTAACCCACTCTTTTGTAGCACTCATCTTCTTATTGGACACAGCTGTGGCCTTCTAAGGGCAGGCCTGTTCCTAATCTTTGGTGATTAGTACAGCTGCAGCTCCTCAGGTGTGAGACTGCCTTCTGCACTACCTTTATTTTCTTATTACATTTCTTATTACATCCTATCCCAGCACAGAAAATACTTGTAGAGAGCAGTTCTCTGTAACAATTGCTGTTTGCTTCTGTCTTTGTAGTTGATGTTGCCAACAGCCTCAGTCCCTACCGGGAGGGCAGATTTGTTGAGAAACGCCTGAGGTCCTCTTCAGAAGGCACCGCTGGGGGCAGCCGGCTGATCATAAAACCAAAGGATGGAAATGCCGAAGAGCTTAACAGCCTAAGGAAGCAGAGAGCAAGCTCGTCCTCTTCTAAAATGAACAGCATGGTGAGTTTTATTCCCACATCCATAAGTTTGTTTTTCTCTGGTTGGTGTAGCTGTGGTGAGAAGCAGTGACTTCACAACTAACAATAATAAAGAGGACAGGAGCTGTCTCAGGCTTCCAAAATGTGATCTAGGCTCAGCTTCAGATATTAAAAGTATTTTTTTGCAGGGTGTGGTGCTGTGAAAAGGTTTGCATACTTTCTGGGAAGAGTTTCTTGTTGACATCTGTTAGTGATTTGCTTGTGCTTGGAGCTTCCTGTTTTTGCAAGAAGTTTACATGCAAATATCAGTGAATAACATGTAATTTTTCAAAGCCAGAAAGAATGTGATGATATTTTTCACGTAGACATGCAAAGCATTACGCAGATGGAGTTGATGCCCTAAAACACTGGGTAACCCTGGCTCATGCCTGTGAACCTTGGGTTGCTAGACCCAAGCTGTTAGGCAGATGTGTGTTTACTGAAATACTAGGCTACACTGATGCTATTGCACTTCCTTCTGTTTAGCTCAGTATTAATGATGGAAGTAGGAAGGTGACAATCCAGGAACAGCAGGAAGTGGGGAAAGTGTGGGATTAGGTGGTAATCTGACCCCTTCTTTGTGTTTTGTTTATGAAATCTATGAGTTTTTTCCCCCCACTGCTATTAGCAAGTTTGTCCTCAGATTGACTTGATTTGCTTATGCTTATTGGTATTACAGTCACAGACCAAGGACTTCTAAAACAAGATTAGAGAGCGTGCTCATGAGGGAAGATAAAATTATTCCTGCTTTCCTCCCAATACATATGGATATTATCTTCCTATCTTAAGAAAATAGAGCTTTTTTAGTAAAAAGTGAGGTTTAGGAAGTAAATCAAATAAAACCAAACCTGAAAACACCCTCTGCACCCTCTCCACTCCACAAAAAGCAAGAAGACAAAAGAAAAACACTGAATTTTCTGGAAGCAAAAAAGAAAAAAAAAAAGAAAAAATGGAATGTTCATATTAATACATATTTGAACAGGAAAAATACCTCTTCAAAATACTTGTCACAATCAATTTGTGTTTAACACCACGGTAGCAGATGGCTACCAATGAGTGATGCTAATGAAGAATACATACTAGGTAAAGAATTGGTGTTATTACACAAAGTATTCTAAAAAGCCTTCTCGTTTTTATGTGGCTAGAACAACATGGCTGTCTGTAGTCATTTTGTTCAGTTCTGGAGAAAAATGGGCCACAGACATTTAAGGGGTAGCAAATGCCTGGGGGAGAGCAGAGGCCCCTGTGGCAAGGGCAGCGTTGCTGTGCAGTTCTGCCCTGAGGCACTGAGCAAGCAGCTGTGCCTGTGGATGCGGTTTTCTGGCATCACCCAGATGTCTTGTTAAGCTGAAGAAACTGTGTACCTGTATCTTTGCCCCTGTTTGTATTCTTTTTCTTGTTGGCAGGCAGTGTGAGCTGCTTCTGCTGAGAGACTGGGATAGAGGAGTCAGAAAGTCTTGCTGAAGGGTGTGTAAGATTTTTCACAGGAGATAGGAAGTAAAAAAGAAACAGCATCTGAGAAATTGTTCTTGATCCTAAACATCTTGGTCAGCAGAGTATTCTTGCATAATTGTCAGTTCTTGTTTCGAAGATGAAGGGTAAAAGCTTGGATAGACTGATGTCCTAAATACTGGGAATATGTATCAAACCTACAGACAAGACCACTGCTTCCCCTATGAGTGGGCTTAACTAACTTGTGAGGTGCTGAAAGTAATTTATATTCTGGCTAAGACCAGTGCTGTTTGTAAATGAAATTTAGGGAAGAAAAAAATCTTTCAAAATAACTCTGCAAGCGTGCCTATTTCATAGTATTGTAAATAATGATGTGAAAGAAATGCTTGAGATGGATTGGATTGCCAGTTGTGTGTTTACAAAGCTGCTGTTCCTGCAGTGGCTGATTCCTGCTACAAGAGGGCACCGTTTCACCACGAATGGTTTTGGACAGTGATCACTGCAATTCAGGATGGGTGTTTGAGCAGTTTCATGTTATTAGTCTGTGCAGTATAATAGACCCTTTCCAAATGAGAAGTATTGATAGTGATGCAATTTAAAGAGATGGATATTGCTCTATAAACACTGGTCATTCTAATGCTTTAACAATGAACTCATGAGTTAGCAAATTTAAATCATTTGACATAACATACAGACTAGTTAACTTTGCCTCAGAAGGTTGGTAGAAATTATACTTTGCCTGCTGTTGCTACCTAGGTGGTGGTTCTTTTCTAATGTGTAAGAGAGACAAAAGGAAAGAAAAATGTGAATTAGTACAGGCAAAAGACTAAATGGTCTGAAATAATGCAGTCCTGCAAGACCAATGGAAAGAATATCAACCTGGATATTTGGCACAATGAGAATTAGATATACCACATAAAAAAAAATAAGATCACACTACCAAATCACTCTAAGCAAGTTCTTTAAGAGGCTTAGGAGACAGAACAGCAGGGAAAACAAAAACTTCATATGTAACAGAACTTGGAACTAGGAGAAAGTGAGATGTGTGTGAGCAACAGAACTATCTGTTACTTGTCATAGTGGTGGCTAATATGGAAAGGTGATATCTTGAATATCACATTTATCAGTACAGAGATAAAATATTAAATTTTTAATGTATTACAGAGCTTTTTAAATGCTAGCAAATTAAAGTCATTAAAATTGGATAGTCATGAGGGATGATATGAATGGCAGTTACTGTAAATTCAAAGAAAAACTTGAGAGAATGGTGGGAGCACCTAGATCACACTGCCAACTTCAAGACATGAGCCACACTGTGCTGTATGCATACATGTGTTTTCACTCTGCATATGTGCAGTGGATCAAGACTGCCTGCTTGCATTTGGCCCTTGCAGATCTGCCTTTCTGCCTCTCTGCTGTTCTTAACACAAAATAGTTCTTGTCTTTACAATTGCTCCCTTTCCCATGCCTGTCTATCAGCATCTGTACTACTTAACTAAAAACCCCTTATTTCTCAACTTCTCCTCTCAGTGGGTGAACACTGCAGGACTGTGTTTCTCTGGGCGCTCTTCAGCACAGTTTTCAGTTTCTCATACTTGAATCTTCTCTAAATGTTGCCTGTTTCTTGCTTCTTAAATTCAGCTTTAACTTTTCACCTTTGCAGGTAAAAACTTTTGTGCTTGCCTTCAGTGCTGCATCATCAGCTTCCTTTGCCTGGAGCAAAGCAACCTTGCCAACTTGTGCCAGCCCAATTAGAGCAGCACAACTTATTTTTCTGCATTGTTGCTTTGGCTGTGCCATTTCTTTCTTTGCATCTTTCCTGTGGTTCCTATATATTAGGTATAAAACCAAGGACCTTTGAGGCCTAAGGACATCCCTGCGTTTTTCCTCTGAGCTTTAACAGTGGCCCTGTTGCCAAGCTGTTAAATAATTGTATTTGTGTTTTCTCCCATGCTGCCTGTCATGCACTTGGGTAACTGCAGTTACCTCAAAATTTGCTTCATTTCCTTTCTAAATTTTCAGTTTAATTTTTTGCCTTGCCTAAAGATAATTTTTCAAGATGCATGCTGGTACTATATAACTAAGGTTTTTACTGAGCTTTTTTTTTGCTTATCCATCCATTGCTGATACTGAGCCAAAATCCCCCTTTTCTCATGCTTATCCCATGCTTGTTAAGTGGGGGGATGCTCCAAGTACTGAGAATCTCAGTAATGTAAATGTACGTACAACATAAATTAGGAACAATGAATGGAAAACCCAGTGTCAGAATACAGGGCAGTATTTCATGGGCAGGAATTCAATTTGATAATGGAATTAGTTGAGTATGCTAGTTAAACATTAAATTTAAAAAATTAATAATTTTCTAATTTAGTATAGGGGGAGCCATCTGACATTTTGGGAATATAGAATGAAAGTAAGTGATTGACACAGAAATATGCTTGCAAAAGAGAGATTAACTGGAAATATTTGAGACTCCTAGTGTGTCTGGAGGGAGCAGAAGGCCAAAGCAGAGGTTGCTAATGAAACTGTGTTATGGCCAGAACATCTGTGGTAATTATCCAATTAGCAACTGGGGTCTAAATTATGGTCCTGGATATTGTGTGTGTAACTCCACCTCAGCTGTGTTACCCAAGTGATTTGGGGTGGCTTAGTAGTTAATAGTAAGGCTTCTAGCATACTTGAGAGATGGTACTTAGAATGATGGAGCTGTTATCCAAACCACTGTATTCGGATCTCTTCCTGTATTTGGTATTGTACCTTATCAGGCCATACCCAAATCTGTAGCTCATCAAAGTGTGCTTATTGCTTCTCACAGATAACTTTATTTTTCATGTTACCTTACGCACCCTGATTTATTACCAAGCACCAGTTTTAATCCAGTTGCTACATCATGACCGAAACAGCAGGATGCTGTGCCCCCATGGACTTCAGTGAATGTACATGAATAAGAGCTAAGATGTTTTTCATGTTCCCCTTGCTTATGCTGAGTTGTATGATATTTTGCTGATGTGTGATTAAGCAGAGAGTATGAATCAGACTAGGTTGGCTGCTAGTCTAGAGAGAATTGAACTAACTTTCATATTTGCCTGAGGTTACTTTAACCTTGACTTTCTGGAAGCTGTGATTTTTATGCAAGGTGTGGCTAATGCATGAGGTGGAAGCTGCTATTGAAAATCCTGGAGTTGAATGAGTTTCAGAGGGTGACCAATGAGTGGATTTGAAAGTGAAGTTGAATGTGGCTGTTTTTGTCACCCATAAATATAACCTGTAAAGACCTGAGAAAACCTTGTGGGGTATGCTCTTCTTCTACAGACTAGCACTAATTATTAATGCCTTAGCAGCCTGCCCTGGAAAGGCAGTGAATTAAATGTTAGAGGGAGGATTTGGGATGCTCAGGACTTCAGTTGAGGTTGAAAAAAACCCTCAAACAAAACAGCCTTTTCAGATATGCCAAGGCTGTTACAAAAATGTGAACTAGGTAAGCAAGATGCACACAATTCTTTATTGTCTTCTGCACAACCTTCTTTACAA